TGCATGTGTGTGCGTCTCTGTGTGTATGTGTAAGTGCATGTCTGTGTGTGTGTCTGCACGTGTGTATGTGTGTGTGTTTGAGGGAGAGTAACTGTGCGTGTGTGTAAGTGTCAGTGTATGTGTGTGTATGGGACTGCCCTCAGGCTGCCAACATCATTTGTTTGACAAAACACAAACGGCTCATTCTCACTGCTGCCGTTAATTTAAAACAGGTAGTGGGTGAAACCACACACTGTTTAACCTCTCTCGATTTTCATTTCCTTTGAATAACTGAGCAACGAGCTGCCAATTCACAATCGCCCACTTGCCTCAATTGCCCAGAGCCGAGTCTAGTATGTACCCACAAGCAATGATAAAAGTAAAATACTGCGGATGCTGGAAATCTGAAATAAAATCAGAGAACGTGGGAGAAACTGGCAGCACTGCAGAGAGAGAAACAGAGTCAAACCTTTTGAGATAACAAGGTGTAGAGCTGGATGAACACAGCAGGCCAAGCAGCATCATAGGAGCAGGAAGGCTGACATTTCGGGCCTAGACCCTTTTGAGTCCAATGTGACTCTCCTTTAGAACTGAAAGGAGCTGGGAAATGATGTTTTATTTTACGCTGTTGACAGTGGAACAGATGGTGAGGGTGTCCAGACCAAAAAACCAAAGGGAGGGCTTTAGGTGGTAAAGCAGTGATAGAGATGTAAAATAGATGTAAATCATCCAAGACCCCAAACACACCTTCCAAGTGAAGCAGCATTTCACTTGTTTATCTTTCAATCTAGTCTTCTGTGTTTGCTGCTCACGATATGGCCTCCTCTACACTGGGGAGAGGAAGCATAGACTGGGCGACTGCTTGCGTACGTTCTGTCTGCAAAAAAGACCCTCAGTTTCCAGTTGCCTGCCACTTCAACACATCACCGTGATCCCTGGCCAACATCTCTGCTTCAGGCTTGCTGCAGTGCTCCAGCAAAGCTCAGTGCAAGCTGGAAGAACAACACCTCATTTTCAGTTTGGGAACCCTGCAACCTTCAGAGCCTAATATCAAGTTCAACAATTTTAGGGCCTGAACACCTTCTCCAATGTCCATACCCTAACTCCCACACACCAGGCCTTATCATCACATGAGATAACAAGGTGCAGAACTGGATGAACACAGCAGGCCAAGCAGCATCATAATCATCCAGCTCTACACCTTGTTATCTCAGATTTTCCAGCATCTGCAGTTCCTACTATCTCTTATCATCACATGGGCTGCTACTACAAATAACCCATTGTTAGCCATTAACGGTCACCATTAGCAGCTAATCATTCTCCCAGGCTGAACATTACCCATTCCTTTGTCTGTCCACCTGTTTTTCTCTCTCTTTGGGCTCTTTGGGATATCATTGATCAGAAACCCAACTGGACTCACTACATAAACACAGTGGCTGCAAGATCAGGTCAGAGCTAGGAATACTGCATCGGGTATCTCACCTCCTGACTCCCCAAAGCCTGTCCACCATCTACAAGGCACAAGTCAGGAGTGTGATGGAATACTCCCCACTTGCCTGGATTAGTACAGCTCCAATGACATTCAAGAAGCTTGACACCATCCAGGACAAAGCAGCCTGCTTGATTGGCACCACATCTACAAGCATCCATTCCCTGTACCACCAACGCTCAGTAGCAGCAGTGTGTACCATCTACAAGATGCACTGCAGAAATTCACCAAAGATTCTCAGACAGCACCTTCCATCTAGAAGGACAAGAACAGAAGATATATGGGAACACCATCACTTTCAAGTTCCCCTCCAAGCCACTCACCATCCTGACTTGGAAATATATTGCTATTCCTTCAGTGTTGCTAGGTCAAAATCCTGTAATAACCTTCTGAAGGGCATTGCGGGTCAACCCACAACAGGTGGACTGCAGAGGTTCAAGAACGCAGCTCACCACCACCTTCTCAAGGGCACCTATGGACGGAGCAATAAATGTTGGCCAAGCAGCGATGCCCACAACCCACAGAATGAAAAAAATAAAAAAACTCCACCTATCGTTTACTCCTTCCCCTCACCCAAACCATCTTCAGCAATATATACCAACATTTTCCTAGCTACAATCATTTCTAAAGAACAGTCACTGGACCCAAAACATTAACTCTGTTTCACTCTCCACAGATGTTGCCAGACCTGCTCAGTTTCTCCAGCTACTTTCTGTTTCCTTTGTTGGAATGAACTTAGGCTGGGGTGGCAGAGAGTGGCTTGGCACATGTGGCACCCAAACTCCACAGGAGGGAAGTGAGCAATGCAAGCATTTGGGAGGCCCCTTTCTGAATTTAAAACATTCGATCCATCAACGCATAGGAGCGAGCTGAGGCTTCGAGCCTTTTTGAATCAGCCGACTGAAGCAACATTTGTTCACCTTCCCCTCGATTCGACTGTGATACTGGCTCACTATGAATCATTCCATTGGACTTGGATGGCACGGTGGCTCAGCACTGCTGCCTCACAGTGCCAGGGACCTGACTTTGATTCCACCTTCAGGCAACTGTCTGTGTGGAGTTTGCGCGTTCTCACTGTGTCTGTGTGGGTTTTCTCCCACGGTCCACAGATGTGCAGGTTAGGGTAGATTGGCCATGCCAAAATTGTCCATGATGAGCAGTGATGTACAGGCTGGGTGGGTTAGCCATGGGTAAATGCAGGGTTACAGGGATAGGGAGTAGAAAGCTCTTCAGAGACTCAATGTGGACTTGATGGGCTGAATGGCCTGCTTCCACACTGTAGGGATTCTATGACTTACCCCCAGAGAGATGGTCATCACTTGGATTTTTGGAAGGGGGAGGGAATAGCTGACAACTAATTCTCAGAGTTATAATCATGGCAGCTTCAGGTGGAACATTGGAGTATGTGCTCCTGGGGAAATGAGGTCAGGATTTTCCTTTCAATGGAAAATCACAGTGCAACGTATCGGAGTAACTCGAAAGGAGCCCTGTGTCTCTGACGCTCTGGGCTGCTACAGACCTATCTAAACTCATCCAGGATCATTTCTGTTGGGCTTGTAGCTCAAAGGTGGGCTCAGCAGATGAACATTTCCCCCTCCCTTCCAACTTAATTCATTGATTCATGAAGTCATACAGCACAGAGGAGGCCTTTTGGCCCATCGAGTTCATATTGATATAACTACCACTAAAGTTGTGCTAATCCCAATTTCCTGTACTTGTCCCATATCCTCGAAGCTATGATATTTCAATGCTCATTCAAATATTTTTTAAAGGTTGTAAGGTTTCCGGCCTCCACTACCTTCTGAGGCAGTGCATTCCAGATTCTCACCACTTGCTGAGTGAAATTTTTTCCCCAAATCCTCTCTCAATCTCCTGCCCCTTACTCTAAAACTATGTCCCCTTGCGATTGCCAGCCAACCAAGGGGAACAGCTGTTCTCTATCCA